TTTCAGTTCTGTACACGTGGAACACCGGAGATCGTCTAGGGCATCTGTCAGATGCGCCGAGCACCCTAGTTGTTGACAAAACAATTTCAGCTTTGCGGCACTTGGGTGGCCCATGTTCTTGTGTACCTTAAACGGACTCATTGGTCACTTGCGGCTGGATTGGACACCTGGTTTGGCTCCGGCAAAGGAGGAGCTTTTGGAGGTGGTTCTGCACTCGAAGCACTTCCCTTGCGTTTCTCCCTTTCCACAGGTGCATCCTCGAGCTTGGACCTAGCGAATCGTCAGCCCGCATCGCGAGGAAGCACATGGTCGTCGCGTTTGTCGGGCAGTCAACTTTTCCCATGGTTCCCAGGAATCTTCTATGGTGACATCTTCGAACCGACGACGGATCCCCATGAACTTCCGTAGAGGTGCATCACCTCTAAAAAGAACAATGTGGTGGACGGTGTGTTGCGGACACATCTGTTGGGCTGCTCTGAGGAGGATGCCTTCGGTGATAGCTTTAGGACCAACCCTGGGCGCTTCCATATCAGCTATTTTCAAGATCTCATCCCGCGTGACCTGAAGGGGAAAGGAGTTGAATTTGAGTTGCATTGCTTTTCTGATCAAGTCGACGTCTTTTGGTGGGGTGCTCGTTATCAACACCCATGACTTGACATGGTCTGGTTCTTTCCTTACGAAGGCTTTGGATGATTTGCCTAGCAAACTTGCGAGGGTACAACTCGGTGAACTGTGACACTGACATGGACTCTCGGCAAATTGCCTACCCGGCAGAGGTCAAAGATGCTTGGCCTCGTCACTTGAAGGATTGGATTGAAACATGGCAGCTTTAACATCTGAGACCCTTGCGGTTCTTCACAATGAAAGTGTTGTTGCTGGGACACTTGGTGTTCACACAAAAATCTTGCCAGACTGATTTGCAACTAGACCATTTTCACCGTGGTCCACATGCCAGACTGATCCACAAGTGCTCCGGGCGCTCGTAAGCTATATGGCAAAACAAGTTGCGGCGACCTGCTCGAGTGTTTAAGTCACCTTCCTTGAATCCAAACCTTTTGACTTGGAGTCCTTGCTGGGTCCCTTGGCGAGTGAGTTCACTCTGATCGGAACACATTATCTCGAGCAGAAACTGTCTTTGAGCTCTCGGTTTGATCTTCTTTGCAATGCTGGCATACTCTGCTCGAAACTGTTGTAGATACTGGTCACAAATTCTGGTATATTCTTGCGGGTGTTGTTTCTCGAAGTCATACAGTAATCGAATTTGGCTTCTCCGATCGGGCTGGTTGCCTCGCTGAGGGCGCACACATGCTCAATCAAATCACGGCTCACTGGTGTTCCTCCTTGATCACCATCCGTGGCAGAATGGCTCAGGCACGGGTTGGTCTTCTTGGGCGTAGCGCTCGTCGAAGGCATCTTGCCTTCTTTCACCCGAAGTGCGACATAGCGGAGGAACTTGACACACTCGATCTTTTGGCTCGCCTCGAAGGTGTTGACGAACCATTTCGTCCATCCTTGGTCGGCAAAGGCTTCCTCGAAGGGAAGACCGAATTTGGCCTTGCCGAACGAGATCTTCATGGCGCGAAGGGTCTCGAGCGGTATCTGGTCGATCTCTTGGCGCTCCTCTGGAGTTGTCTCCTTCTTGACTTCGGCTTGAAAGGCTGCCAGTTTTTGACTCAGGCTGGACATGATGGCTTTCGAGTGGGCTCGAGGTGAGTGGGCCGACTTAAGAGCTCGGGTGCTCCGAAAAACAAACATTCCGACTGCTTTCTTCAGGGTGTACTCTTTCGGTATGGTTGGTCTCAATTAAATCTGACTTGGATTCCCCTCGGCTGTTGAAACGCTGTTCTGTTTCACGGCTGGACAAGGTGTCTCGAAGCTTTCTGTTTGGAGCGAATGGGTCTCTTTCGACCCCTGTACCTGCACAGTGTCTTGGACAAATGACACGTCCTGCGGCCACAGCTGGTTGATATCCAGTAACATCAGGTTCGATGGGGATTTGGAAGTGTCCAAAAACATTCCTAATGTTTTGCTCCAAAGGGTTCCGGCATCAGCATCAATGGCTGCTTGGACAGTTCTCAAAAATGAGCTAGACAGCAAAAACGGTGTCTGCCCGGGGACTACGGCGATTCGGAACCAAGCCTTGTGCACAGGAAGGATTAGGGCCACCTTGCTGGTTCAGCGTTTGATGATTGCCAAAATGAAAAACCAAATGACATGGAGTGCGTTTGACTTGACATCGAATATTTGATGGGAGGTTGTTCAACAGTTCCGGTACCTGATTGCTCCCTATATCGCTGTTTGCGAGGCTCCTAGATCCACAACACCTGTGGCCCCATTGGATGCGAAACAGGCGAAACATGCGATGGCTTCCTGAGCTGACCATTGGGGACCGCTTGAGGCTGGAGAGCGGGAGCGCGGTTCCGGCTCTCAAGTGCTTGGATGGTCATCACGGAGTTGGTCTCGAAAGCTTTTGAGAGGTGCATCTAACATGGTCAAACAAAGTTCTTCTGAGTTCACCTGAGTGGCGGGAATGACTTCGAAATCTCTTGAAGGCAGGATTCGAGGTCGCTGCTGCTGGAGGACTTGCGAGATGGACATTCGGCCTTCCAATGACCTGTCTGTCCACAAAGCCTGCAGGTCGATGAGGCAATCCGTTGGGCTAGGCCTTTTGACTTACCCTTCACTCCCTTGCCACATCCTTGCCCCCTTTGAAGGTCTTTGGCTTCAGAATCCACGAGACCGTGTTTTGTCCTGCAATCGACGGCGAGCATCCTGATAGCTCACATAGTATGTCGCCAGGTCCTTGTCCTCTTGGATGGTGTCCATGACGGCGTTCTCGAATTGCTGAATGAGATAGGTGTCATCATCATCAGCAGCAGCTGCTAGGGCCTCGATGGAGTCTTCAGCCATGGTATTCGTCTGTCTCTTCGACTCCAAACGCGAGGTGGTCGTAGGTCTTGAGATTCTTGTCTCGCTTGCCGGAGGTTATTCCTGAAAGAAACTTGATCCCAGCATCCCTGCTGAGACCTTCTTAATTTCCAGCTCTGTCCCTGAGGTCTCGGCGCCTGATTCAGGATTCAACAAGTACAGTACCCTTTCTTGTCCTCCATGGACAAGCGACTGCCCCTGAGGATGATGTAGACTTGAACCTCAGCCAAACTGATCTTCTTCATAGGAAGTTCTGTCCACACCTCCTCCGATCTGGCGAGATAGGAGTCAGCGTTCTCATCGGACTCCACGATGTCGAACTTCTTTTCCAGGCTGACTTGGCCAAACTGGCCTCCAACAATCTCCACAATCTGGGCAATGCTCTCTACGGTACCTGTCAAAATCTCCTTCTTCTTCAATTGGAGCTTGGCGAAGCCGAACCTTTACAGTTCAGAATGATGCGAGTGGCGAGCTCGCTCAACTTGCCTTCAGGCCAGACCTGTGTCAAAAGCTCGATCTTGTTGGACGTCCCTGTAGCCAATGTCGAGGGCCTAGACTCTTCCGGCATAGTCACAACTGTCCTCAGCAATGTATGGTCAGGATGTCACTGACCCGAAATTGGTAGCTAGAGACTTGCGGAGAGGGCTCTCAAGCGCAATGCAGTACAACAACACATTGTTGAATTCAATGGTCTTCCCAAAACAACCACAAGTGGTCCCCGCCACCAACAATCTCTTCAAAGTGCCCTGCACGTATCCACCACAGCTCTTTTATGACTCACGCCCTGCACGATCCTTCGAACGTCCACGTCCGGACAAGGAGATGGCTCAACGACAACAACCCACCCTCCCTTTGAGAGGTAATGTTGCGAAGCATCGCATCAGGAACATGTGACATGCATTGCCACTGCTGGTTAGACAATAGACAGATAGATAGACAGACAGACAGACAGACAGAAAGACAGACAGACAGACAGACAGATAGACAGTAGATAGATGGATACAAACCTGAGAGCTGAAAGCATGCAGATAGTTCTGATGTCAAGTCCCAAGGTAGCTCAGCTCTGCAACCCGTATGTCCACCAGCCTTTTCGAACTGCTGCTCCAGCTTGGTCACATCGATCTGAGGTCAGCAAGATGGCTCGCGTTGCTTGGATGTGATGAGCTCAGTGAATAGCAGTCACAATGTTCCCAACTCTCGTGCAGAGGTCTTATTCTAACCTTGAGCGTCTCTTTGTGCGGCAACAAGAAGTCAAAAAAAATGCTGTGCAATTTTCACAAGTGAGCTTTACACTTTACACTGTAATCCCATGAACCCATGAAGTTACCCACAAGAAAGCTCTTCAATGTTGCCAAATTGGATGGAGGATCCTCTTTTTCAACAAGGTGCTTCATGTCACTTTTTATGTAGAATGACTTCTCCTCAGTGTAGCGGAAGATGTCCCCTGTTTGAACAATTAGGAGGACTCATGGACTTTGAAATGCCTGAGAGGTACCAGGTACAATCCTCAGCAATCAAGCCGCCATCTTTGCAGTTTCTTGGAGCGTAAAGTCAGCTGTTTTCTGCCTTGGCACTCCGGCAATCTCCAGCCGCAATTTGGGCCTCCCTACCAATGGCTGTGTGCGCAAGAGAAAGCCCCGCAGATAGCTGATGAGACCTTCAAGGTAATCCTTGGTTATTGGATGGGTTGAGAACCTGTGCTCCGTTTGTGAACCAAGTGCAGTGAGACAAATATTGCTGGTAGTTTTCGTTGTAAACTACCAGTTCAAGAGTCTGGGCAGGCCTTGCCTGAGGAAGAAAAGCTATGCCCCTATCTGGCGTCAGGCCAGGTGTAAACTTCACAGCTGGTTTGAGACAGGCAGCTGTGTAGTTCTTCTCACCTAGAGCAAATGCAAGGCGTTCTCTGGCTGAAGACTGCCCATGAAGTAGACTAACTTCAAGGAATCAACGATCTGGTCTGACCTGATTTGTTGCTATCGTAGTTTTTTCATAGAAATAACGAAATGTTTGCATCATCTACTTAAGCGAGAAGAGCTTGCATCTTGGCCGAAGAGGAGAATTGAACTTGCGATTCAGCATAGTTGGATAAACATCAAGTCCTTTTTCTTAAACTGAGTCCAGTGACGGTACTTGCAATACCTGCTGATTTCATGAAACTGATCGAAGGTCTTGAGCCATTCGATGTAGTCCAGCTCATGGAATTCTTTCTCAACCACCCTCAGCGGACGCAGAATAGACTGGCTTAGTCTGGTGCAGCGGAAACAGGACTATGGTCGATCTGTCTGCCGCCCCCAGGTCAGTTTCTTGCCGTGCTTACATGTTACGAAAGTGCGTGTCTGCCAGCTACTCTAGCTGCTAGGTCCAAGGTCAAATCAGGGTGCCCGGCTTGTCGACTTCTGGATCATCAGGCTCCAGATCCACCGTCTTTTTCTTAAGCCGCACAAAGGTGGCTTGTCTGAAGTTGCTTTTCCTGCAGCGATTAAAACATGGCTCAACGATGTGAAAGTGGGACTTGGAGCCTAGACAGTCTCACTATGGAGCCCCTCTAAAACTAGCAAACTAGCTCAGCTAGCATCATAGTCTCGACAAATATCCTGCGTAGGCTGCGTAGTGTTTGAACTCATGTAATCCAGCCCATCTCTCATGCGGCCTTAAGGTCGAGATCTTCTTTAGGTTGAGGTATGTGACAAAGAGCTCGTGCATATCCACACCTGGCTCATCAACTTGATGACTTACACTCCTGCATGGTTTGGAATGGGGCAGCAACCGCTACATGGTCACCAAGGTGAAAGCATAGCTAAGCAAAGATGCAAAACATGACAAATACCTGCTGACCATCTAAGGACCCTGCGCTTGCCGTAGTCTTCCTCACCTGAGCTATTCGCCTATAGATAGAACGCTCACATGGTTGTCACATCCAGAATGAAAGTCACAACAAAATAGCTTCAAAACCTCATGGCCATTCAGGGCCCGTTCGGCGTCCACTTAAGACCGCCAAGCCCACAAAGCTTGAATCCACACAACTCTGTCCAGTGGTTGAATCCGCATCAAACGTGCCTGAGAAGAGGCTCTCGGTCTTGTCGTTCTCCAAGGCCCTTTGGTAGAACCTGCATCAGGTGACTACAATCACTGTGAATACAATCCAGCTCCGACTTTGGCACCTGTCCGACAGCCCTACCATTTGAGGCTCAACATGTGAGGCTTCACGCATCGTATGACGTTCACTGTTCCCCGTCAGGATGCTTGGTTCAATGCCCAGTAGCGGCTCAGTAGCGGTTTGCAAAGGAGTTTGTCAAAGCATTCTTTTGGATTCAAGCCAGGAGTTCTGTGTTTCTTGCAGTCGTGCAACTCTTGCAAAACTTGCAAAATGCACGTTGAAATGCAGCCTGAAATCAACTGCGTTCACACCAAGTATCAGAAGCTGTAACAAGCACAGCAGTATGACACCTAGAACGGTGATTGAAACCCATGTTGTGTATCAAGGATCATGATGTTGTAACAAAATGAGATTTCAGGAGATACTGTACTCTGAATTTGCAAACGCTCTGTTGATGATCCCGCCATTCTGAGTTCTGTAGCTCTGGAAGGCCCTGGTTCACGCTAAAGCGCCGGTGGTAGTCCTTGTCAGGATCACAGAAGTTCTGCTCAAGGATTAAAGGGCCTAGGAAGCTGCTTGCCCTTTTGAGACAACTTAGTAGAGAGCCTATGGCAAAAAAATCTGCCCAGTGTTTGTAAAGTCCATCGCAGAAACTGGAGTAGCTTCTTGGAGTTGGCCATGAGTGTTCCCTCCTTCACTTCCTTCACCTTGTCGTAAAAGCTAGTCCAAACATCACCTCAACGTGGCAAAGGTAGCAATGGAGGAACTAAATCAAGCTTCACTTGTTCTCTATGTTCAAGCCGGCTCATGCTTCACACGGTTTCAGGTGTCCAAGGTTCCAAAATGATACTTCAGCCGATCTAATGGAGGTGTTCTTCCACACAGAGGTTCGGCTTGCAAACCTCTTTGGCAAGCCTAATATGTTGATACAATAAAGATGTGCAAGGTCAGGGTTTTTATGGTTTTTGCAACAGGCACAGAAAGCCGTGCTATTGTGCAACAACAACATTGTAGTTGAGGAGCGACACTGGGCATAGCCCACTTCAGGCACAAGGTTTGGGAGCACAAAGCTTCATGAGACTCAGTGGAAAAGCCAAGAATAAGTGGCACTGCTGAGGGCACACAGAAAGCACAATTGAAGACTGACTGGACACTTTGAAGGCGGCATGGCTGAGAAATGCAAATACACCTGAAATCAATGGGAGGAGAATACACTTCATGAAGATCTCAAAAGGTCACGCTTGAATTGTGGCTTTCCACGGCTTCTGGGCACTCATATAACATTCGTCATTGCGCGGAATGTCTTTTGGGTACACGTCACTGTATATATATATATATATATAAAAACATCTCCGTCCGGGCTATCAATTACACACGCACACGTTCCTCCAGATCTTGGTCGGTTTCTGTACTGGAAAGTTCGGTCGACGTCTGATTCGGTAACCAAACGGTCTGATTCGGTAACTATGATTCGGTAACCAAAAGCGCTGATTCGGTAACCAAAACGTCTGATTCGGTAACCAAAACCGCTGATTCGGTAGCCAAAACCCGTTGATTCGGTAACCAAAACTGCTGATTCGGAAACCAAAACCGCTGATTCGGTAACCAACACCGCTGATTCGGTAACCAAAACCAGGAAACCAAAACCAAAAACATTTCCAAAAGAAGACATTGATGACCCGGGTGGTAGTAGTAGTAGTAGTAGTAGTAGCAGTCGTAGTCGTAGTCGTAGTGGTAGTGGTAGTAGTAGTAGTAGTAGTAGGTGGTAGTGCCACGATCCAAAATCTCTCCGCGAAGCAAGGAGAAACGTTACTATCTTGGCCATGATTCCCCCCACCCCCCCACCCCACACTACTCCTGCCGTCCGCCACTAAGTCTTACTTGAATGAATGTAAAAGCCTGCATCCACATGGAACGTTATTATCTTGGCCATGATTCCCCCCCGCCCCACACTCCTCCTACCCTCCACTCTGTTCAGCCATATGCTGCTGACAAACTAATTCTTACTTGAATGAATGTAGAAGCAATTTGCATCCACATGGAACGTTATTATCTTGGCCATGAACCCCCCCCCCCCCCCCACCCTGCTCCTACCCTCCACTCTGTTCAGCCAGATGCTGTTGATACAAGTTAATTCATATACAAATGAATGTAAAATCCCTTTGCATCCACATGGAACGTCATTATCTTGGCCATGGTTCCCCCCCCCCCCCCCCCACCCACAACTCCTCCTGCCGTCCACCACTACTTCTTACTTGACTGAATGTAAAAGCCCGTTGCATCCACATGGAACGCTATTATCTTGGCCTATAGTTTCTGAACAGTCTAACTTGGTTTCTGAATCGACTGTTTTGGTTTCTGAATCGGCCGTTTGGGTTTCTGAGTCGGCTGTTTTGGTTTCTGAAGCGGCTCTTTTGGTTGCTGCATCGGCTCTTTTGGTTTCTGAATCGTAGTTGCTGAATCGACTGGTTTGGTTTCTGAATCGGCCGACTTGGTTTCTGAATCGGCTGCTTTGGTTTCTGAACCGGGACTCGCTTGGTTTCTGAATCGGCCCGTTTGGTTTCTGAATTGACTCATTTGGTTCCTGAATCGGTCCATGTGGTTTCTGAATCGGACTGTTTTGGTTTCTGAATCGTAGTTGCTGAATCGGCCATTTTGGTTTCTGAAACGTAGTTTCTGAATCGGCTGTTTTGGTTTCTGAATCGTAGTTGCTGAATCGGCCATTTTGGTTTCTGAATCGTAGTTTCTGAATCTGCTGTTTTGGTTTCTGAATCGTAGTTGCCTGATCGGTTGGTTTCTGAATCGGCTACTGACCGGAAAGTTCGCTTGCGTACTTTGTTCGACAGGGACCAGTCTGTCAATGCTCGGCACCTCCTTTCTTGTCGGCTCGTTGTCCCGCCAGAGCATTGATGTCATCTGTACGCATGCCGTCTTTGTCCTGGTGTTGCCCACAAGCCAAACACTGAATACAAAGCCGGGAACCATCAAAAAGTGCGAAACTCTTTCCATTTCCAGCTTGGTTCAACTTCGCCTGGAATGTAGCTAGTTTTGGAGAAAACATACTGACAACAAAGCCAACTGCTTTCTTGCATAGCTTTTATAAGCATGGCTCTTCAACAGAAAACCTTCCAGCGAATGCTGGTTGATCCCTTGTGCTTCTTACCTTCCAACAGTGCAACTGCTAGCAGCTAGCATGTGGCAGACTGGTGGACCTACGAGACTGTTGCACTCCGGTCCTGGTAGATGTCAATGGCAGTCTTGCACTTGAGCTGTGTTGATTCCACCAAATACTTCAGAGCCTCAGACGCTCTGTATAGGGAAACCTGGATAGCCCCCACAACTATATAACGAATACAGTGACACACCAATTGAATAACGCAATGGTGTGCACCAACAACAACATCGAATCAAATCTCAATGGTCCATCGAATTGTTCTGTCAAACTCCGGCAGAAACCGAGAATGTTCATCTACGGCATGTCACCGTGACGAACAGCATCACACACACACACCAAGTGTACTGTATACTGACAATAGGTATCAACATGTATCCACAAGTCCTGTAGATTCAGGGGTCTGAAGTTTCAAGTCAAGAGGAACTTAGGAACTTATAGTATACAGACCTTGAGATCTTGTGAATCCAACACCTATTTTCAATAAATTGTATCTCAGCAAATATCTGAGTTAAGCTGTTTCCTGGCGCTCTGGCATGCTCACAGGTCACTGCAGACTTGGAGTTCTTGTGCCTCAAGTTGCCAGATTGAACTTGGATGATCAAACTATCAAAACTACACAGACTCTAGTAAAGTAGCCGTTCACATCCTATTATTGAACTTCAACTGAAAAACAATTGGTCCGGATCCCGGATGTGCTGTTTTACATATTATCATTTTTGGCTAGCGAAGGCGCTGCCCTGCAAAAGTGCTGGGTCTGATTTGCCAAGTCACTTGTCCATCAAAACCATGCTCATGGCCTTTTCGATATTCTCAATGTCCTAGCCGTTTCAACTGGTCAAAAAAATTGAAAAGCTGCACACACTTCACAAACTTGGACCTTTCGATGACCAACTGAGTATTGGTCTCAAATCTTTATATTGGGTTTTTCTCGCCCCAAACCAAGCTTGAATCCAGGTGAGAGATTCTTCCAATTTCAAGAACTATCCTTCTAGACCCCCAGACCCTGAAACAAAGCGGAAACCTTTGCAAACGTGAAGCAGAAAGTCAGAGGATGCGACGGGGATATGATGCATCTATATAAACTGTCCACATGGTTTACATGTCTGCAAAATGTTTAAAAAAAGAAAATAGTGGCCTCTACCACCCCTCTACCACCTGTGCCACCTGTTCATGTCCCACCTCATGGGCCGAGCGCAGCTGCTCCAGCACGGAGAAGCTCATGGTGCAGCTCGGCCCAGCCAACCTAGAAAAGCACACAAGACACCAATACAAATTCCTTCGGGTTGCGGGGAAGTGTCGTCCAATCCTCAACCAAAAGTGTAAGCGAGAAAACCATTCGTTCTCTTACATTGAATTGTTCAAATCGGAAGGACTAAGACAGTTGGCAATCCCCATTGTGGGTCAAATAGCAGCTAAAGCTCGAAATGACCATAAATGAGACACATTGTCGTTTTGCAACCCTCGCCAGAAGTTGAATTCAGTCGGATGAATGATGAAGTCGGGTGAGGTTTACAGTCAAATGACTTGGCGTGCACAAGTGCCGTTTATTCAATGTTGTGTGTCCATTCCAAAACTTCAACCATACCACGGAACATTTGCAATATATATATATATATGTTTTTCGTAATCTTAACACGAAGGCAGCACCTTCAGTCTCAAAATTGTCTTGTTCTCTATATATAATCTCTGTGCACCCATTGTAAAACAAGTTTCGCCTGAAACATTGAAAAATGTTCTGGCGTTGTTTGTGGGGTAGAGTCGCACGTGCAAATAACAAGGATTTTGGTGATGAGGAAGATCCCGATGCCTGCACAACACAAACTGGACATCCTTGCTCCAAACTGCGGAACAGTGGCCCCAGGTCTCTTTCTTGAGCACCACCTTTTGCATCTGAGCCAAAAGTTTCCGGAACAAAGCGTCAGACCTTGGACCTGGCTGGGTGTCTCATTGTGAAGATGCTATGGCTATGATCCTGTCCTTTGTCCATCTAAACAATTACTGTATATATTCAGTCCTGGGCGTTGCTTGAATCTGTTGTAAGGTCTGTTTAATTTGCTAACAACTGGCCGAAATTTGTTGTCTGAGTTTACGATTTTCCATTTTTGTAAATGGTGGTATGATGTGCATCCATTCCACCCATAGAGTCAAATCGTCAGTCATTTACTGATGCCACCAGTAGTTTTGTTTATTAAAATACATGCCGCAGCAAATGAGGCACCCAAAACGTGCCGATAGAATTCCAACAGCTGTCAAAGGGTGCAAACTCACCACCAACAACAACATGACACGCAGACCTTCTGGCATCGGTGGCTGGGTATCCTAAGTCGTGCCGGTGAAACCAAGTCCCTGCAACATGGTCCACCCATCACACTGATACAAACCCTTGTGTGGACATTCGAACGTGGAATCCAGCTTAGTTTTTGCTGCGCGCGATCTTGGGTCAGCTTCTGAGGTGCTATAATCTTTTCAGCGCTGGCACTCTGAGAATATAGTTCAAGCACCAAAGGCGATATGATGTATGCAATTTCACGGCACGAGATGTTTCAGGCACAATCTCAGGAAATGCGCACTGAACTGACCATCCCAAGCCCTGAAGAAACAGAAATTAAAAATTTGTTTGGGTAAAAACACGTAGTGTCGCATCTTGTTGGAAGCCATCGCACGAAGGTTGGAGGCCATCGCATCTAGGTGGGAGGGCGTTGCGGGCTGGAGGCCATCACTGACTGGTGGGTTGGTTGCAAGCAAACACAAAGACGGCTGAAAATCCTATCCCATAGTCACGTTTCGTTTGGTGGCAAACAAAGCTGCAAGCTCAACTATTTTCACGCGGACTCTGGGGTCTGACCACTGCTTGCCCTGACCACTGCTTGCCCCCTTGCGGACAAAAGGGTTGGGTGGGTGGGCTCAAATTTCGGCCGACAAGAAAAAGGAGGCCCCCCCCCCCCCCCCTTAAGCCCAAATGTTACACATTCAAGAATTGCCACCCGATCCTGACGTCTCTTAAACGATGTCGTGACAAATCGATCGTTTTCAACGAGCTGCTTCGTCACGTTTCGTTTGGTGGCAAACAAAGCTGCAAACTCAACTATTTTCACGCGGACTCTAGGGTCTGACCACTGCTTGCCCCATTAAATTGAGGCTGACCCCAGAGTCGCACGCCACTCATGTACAAATTCGAAGAAGCCTCCACTGGCATCATGAGATACACACATCTCTGCTTGAAGGAAAGGGTGTTCGGCAAAGCATGAGGGAAAGTCGCTAACATTGCATTCAGTTGGAACCCTCGCAAACCAAAATTGCGACGGCTGTTCAGACTCAAGCCTCAACTGAAGGTGCATCAGAGCGAGAGCGGCTTGGCCTTGTGCAGTTCCCTTGATTAAAGCAAATCTTACAGCATTGTTGTTTCCAAAGTGCGCCGTGAGCCGTCGAAAAACAATGTCATTCCAGAAACGGAACGAGAAAACTGCAGCAAGAAGCTCTAACTCATAGATGATAGTGTCTCTTTGCAAAGCTCCAAAAGCATCGCAGAGATTAGAATCCAGTGGGAGTGAAAACCAAGCGAGGCATTCTCCGTCCTCACCTACCAGAACGGCGCACAGCCCCCCCGGTGCGGTTTATGGGCTCATAGGCCGCGTCCGTGAAGAGGAAACATTGTCGCATCGGTTCACAGTCAATTGCTTTGGGTTTGCAGGTCTGCAGTCTTGTCTTCATCCAGGCCAAAGCTTCAACCAAGGATGTGCTCAACTCAGACTGCGTTCCATATGCATGTTCAACAATCCTATTGAGGACCAGCTTGCCAAGTCTACCGTGGACTTGGCTGTCAGCGAAACCCAGGCGCCCTCGCAGCACGAGGGATTCATGTCGGTTCATACGATTTTCATGGAGCACTTTGTCGATGTGTTCCACGAGTTCCGCCTTCCTTTGTTCAGTGTTGCCTATGGATAGCACTCGATCTTTCGATTTGCTCAAATCAAACTCAACACCTAAGGCTTTGCAAGTCACGTCGAAATCAGTTGCCTTCTTTCCATCCCTTGCAAACTCCCAACCTGTCAAAAGAAAAACCATCTCCATACCATGTCTAGCAGAAGTCTGATTCGCACTCCGTGAAACCAAAATGAAGTCGTCATAGAAGTTCGTGTTCAAAAGAAAAAGGGCGCGAGCAGCAATGCTATGGAGGGCTCTGGCAATGCGCAAAAAGTTGTACACACTGTGAGTAGCACCAAACGGAAGAGTTTTCATCCTATATATTTCAGCCTTGTCCAGCTCATGGTTGTAGATGCTAAAGTATGCAAGCTTCAAGCGCTTGCTGCAGATGGGCACCTGCCTGTAAGCACTCTTGAGATCATAGGTCTTGGCAAGGAGCTCCGAGCTCACTCCAACAGTTGCACACCTACTAATAAACTCTTTCATGAGTGCAGCAAAAGTATCCATGTGCAAATCGATCTTGTTGTGTGTTGTGGTACATTCATTGATCCCACTGATGGAATAGTCGTCAATCAGTCTGATCTTTGCACCTTGCCTCAGTGGGAATCGTCGGGAAATGACTGCATCCTTTTCAAGGTCACCGACCTCGAAAGGCCCCTCAGCCCAGCCTTTTGCCAGTTCAGTTCTTGTCTCCTCCAGGAGAGCGCGATCCAGCTCTAAGTCTCCACACGACGCAGACATCTTCAATATGGCCTGATTCCTCCGAACTGCTCCAGCCTTGAGTTGGGCCAGCGTAGCCATGCAGGGCTTGTATTGTTCTTTGAAGACTGTGCAAGCTTCAACTTCACCCACCAAAGTAGAGCCCTCGCGCAAGATGTCAACCACACCCAGGTCGCTGTACCCACTGTCCCGAAGTATCTCTTCAGTTAAAAGTAACCTCTTGCCCGATGTGTTCTGCTGGACATGCAGCGGCCTTCTGGCTAGATCTTCGGTCTCCAGTACAGACAACTCTGAAGCACGTGCCAGCCACTTACTGCACCATGCCATCCTATAGTTGGCCAGTTGTTGTTCTGTAAGTTCAAGTTGTTTGATTACTGCAATTGCCCTATGCTTTGGGGAGTGTTGAGGGAGAGAGCGGAGGCGCGGGGCGCATTAACAAAAGGCCACAGACAATCGAAATCCTCAACCCCCAAAAGGAGG